TGTGTAAACAGCAGAAGAATAATTCAACAAAAGAAAGATCAATGCCTTCAAAGTTACTGTGTTAGAAAGGAAAACTAAAGCTGACCATACTGAGGGTCAGACACCTCATCAAGCACAATGAAGGCAGTCACTTGCACTTCTTGGTAATAAAATATTTTATGAAAAATATTTTGAAGTTTGCCTTTCTGTTGAAAAATATTACAGAATCATAACTTACATAGATTATTTAATATAAGATTGAGTCAACACACTCATATGCTGAGAAGGCAACAGCCTGTGTTTCTAATAAATGGGGTACCTTTTTATATCCAAATAATCAAAAAACTATCAAACAAAATGATGAAGCATTTTTCTTAAAAAATATTTTTCTCATTTATCTAATCTACAAAAATTGACTTAAATCTCAATTTTGCACATAACAGACTTTTTATTTATTCCTAAATTAAACCTATTATATCATCAAACTTATTTACATAAAATTTCCCTTTTAACATTGCATGCAAATGTTTTCTATTATTTAAATGTAGGCTGGAAGGTAAATTAAATAATTCTCAAGAGAACTAGAAAAAACTTTCCTTGCTTTCAGTGTTTGGCTTTGATTAAGAGCATGTAGCACGTGGTAAACTGCTCCAGATTTGCTGGCTCAATGCAGCCTGCAATTACAGTTTATAGAAAACAAATATATCTGACAAGGCAATATATCTTTGCCTCAAATATGTTTACTCATATAACAATTGTTGTTCCATCTATTTAAAAAATACAGTCTATCAGTTCCAGTTTTGCAGCTTGACCTAAGTAAGTGGGCTCTTGTTCCCAGACATACAAAACAGCAGAATGAATAAGATACTTCAAAATAGGATACTCAAAACTCAAAACAAAACTAGTCTAAAATAAGTTATGGCTATTTAACACTTAAAGCTTATTGAAAGCAAGTTTCCATTATGTACCTTTATACCTGAATGAACATCATACTGTATTTATGACAGATCTGAAACAGTTGCAAAACTTTGGATTTTGGTTTAGATTTTGAAAGTTAACTTAGAATGGAATTTCACCATGTTGGAAAAGCATTTAAGGAAAAAAAAAAATCTTTCAGTGTTTTTCTGTTCCAAGACCTGGTTGTAATTTTCTTATGCTATTAAATAATTGCAACAATAGCAATAGTTTTGCTTTTTTCAAACAATCTGAAAATATTCTCAGTGAAGAAAAGGCTTTCCCATGCTGCTATTACCAAAGTGCAACAATACCAATTCTAAATAGCAAAAAGCTATTTTTAATATATTTGTTTAAATACCAGCTTTATAAAAGTTTAGAACAATAATTCTTTATGACAACAAAAAATCTGAAGCAGGGAAAAGTTATATTCCAAGACCCATTCATGGTGAGAAAAGGATTTTCTTGACTTATGAACTATAGGAAGAAGCAAAAGAACAATCTCTCCCAGTTTCTGGCAATGAATATGCAAGCCAACCAACATCTGACATTCCTACAGATTCAGACAGGTGCCTCAGTGCCACAGCCTTTTTCCCTAGACTGGGCTGACACAGCAGTACCTGAAGCACCCATCAAACCAGCCCAGAGCTGCTGCAGCCCTGGGAACAGCCAGGGAAAGCACAAGACCATCATGCTTCCCCAGCCCCATCCCTACGCTCCAGCAAACTCCTTTCCTGAGCCTTTCACAGGTGAAGAATGAACCCACTGCAGTGCTAAATAAAATGCTCAGTTTCCTGGATGTTAATTGCCATCACTACATGCTGGAGCAGATCTCAACGTCTTAATTAGGCAGGTATAAACCAGGTTTTGCCAATAGGCAGCCTAAGGCAGAGCCACCTGAATTACATGGAAGTTACTCATTAATCTGGATATGTCATTGCAATAAATCAGAAAAAATGAAGCCCTGCCTATCTGAAAAATCAATACATATTAAAATACCTGACCTAGGAAGATAAGTGTTGTAATTTGGCCAACAGTGATTTAGCAAAAGTTCCATAGCATTTCCTAAATTGCATCCACCACAGCAGTGGTCACTACTGTTTGTTTCCATTGGTCACTAATATCTGTGGTCAACAAGAAACATTAAAGGATGAGACGTATTCTGGTTTTACTGCCCACAGGAAAAGCAGAAAAAATCAAATCCTTCCGTCTCCTCTTGGCCTTTGTAACAAAAACATGAGTGAATCACAAATGGTGACTTACAACCAGTTGTAACCCTCACTATGTAATGGAAGCAATAACCCAGGTAGGCTACTGCTGGTGGAATTACACCAACTTTAATTTTTTCCTATGCTACATGTGTAATCCAACACACATTACTACACATTACTGTCGTGGTTTAACCCCAGTCAGCAAATAAATATTATGCAGCCACTTATTTCAATCTACACTTATTTTATTATTAGAACCCCTAATTTCAATACAGTACTAAGAAATAAATACCATGAAAAAACAGGATATAAAGTTGGATCCTAAATACCTTTTTAGTTCAGAAATTAATTATTTTCCTCTTAGTTACTTAGATGTTTCTTACAAATAACTTAGCTATTTTCCTTGAATACCACTGTTGGACACTTGTCAATATTTCTCAAGGAAAAACTCTCTACAAGCCAGATGCCCAAGAGGCCAAGATTTTTCTCCTCAAAATGTAAATGCCTGCTAAAGTGCTGACATTTAAATCAGGCCAGCCAAGTTAAGTAGTAAAACTATACAAAATAACACCACAGCAGTAGAATAGCACTTATTATGATCATCTTAGTAATAAAAGCAATGCAGCAGCACAGAATGCTTCACTCCCCCATCACTGGATCTGCTCTGAAGTTGCAAGCAGCAGGATTACATTGCCCAAGCAAATAAAAAATACTGCCTACCACTTTCACTGCTAAACAGTGGCTAAAGACCTTTAGATGCACCCCTGTCCTCCTCACTTCCTAACCACAAAGAGAACACAAGAAAACAAACCAACCAATGAACCACACACAAACACTCTGTCCCCATCCCCTTTTTCATGTCATTCAGGTCACATTCTGTGATCAGTAAACAGACTGAGTTAGGATTTGATAACAATCCCAGGACAAGAACACTTGAAGAAAATAACACCTACGGCACTAAGGGCTCCCTCTTCAATACAATACGGCAACACTTTCCACAAGGAGATTGGCCACATAGATCTTAGAAAACTCTTTCTGAACACAGCAGCAACTATTTGCTAAACTCTCCACACTTAAAAAAGGTTACCATGGCTACCATGTGCCCCATGCTCAAACTGATCCCAGGAAAAACGAGGGGAAGCTCTCCTGCCTTGTTGTGCCCTGTGCATCCTCTCTGTGCTGCCAGATCATGGCCTCCTGTACCTGCTTTTTCTGCAGCAACAGAAATGGCTGTGGAGAAGCAGCCAACATGAACAGTGAACCAACCCTGACATGATGTACACGTGGCCATGAGCAGTGCAATCCCCACCAACCAAGTCCAATGAAATAACATCCTAATACGAATTCTGCTACTTCCAAACCTTACCCCTGCCTCAGCCTACAGATCTTCATGTCAGACTTTGCTTTTCTTATCTCAGTAAATATGATTTTTTGTATTCTTCAGCTAGAGACAGAAAAAATCTTTCTCTCCTGAATCCTTTAAAGCTTCTAGCCAGAGGGAAGAAAAAGGAGGAGAAAATGCTCTAAGAACCACATTTGGAGTGCCATCCCCTTGTGACTGAAACAAATCTCTGTATCTGCCACAGCTATTAGCCTTCTCCAAATAGCAGCTGAAGCAATATGGAACAAACTTGGTCCCTAGATAATTTCCCAACTACTCATATGGTTCTGTATAGCAGCCATGAAAAATAATAATTCTTAGTAATTTAATTCTGCTGTTGCTTGAAAAACTTATGACCCAAAGCAGAAATTTTGGATGTGTCTCTAGATTCAAGACAAAATTGCAAGCTCAAAAGACAAAGTTTTCTGAGATTTATTTCCAGTCTTTTCTTTCAGAGGATATCAATCTTTGCAAAAGAGGTAGAGATTAGTCTGCTTCACATTTTAAAGGAAGCAATACAATTTGCAAAAATTATTAGTTCTTCTTCACTTGCAGTTGTAAACCTTAAGTATAAGACCTCTACTGAAACTGCAGCTCAAATAAAATGCTAGCTGATAATACATAACAGGAAATGTCCATAACAATCCTAAAAGTATAGAAGACACACTAAAATGGAAATTACATTACAGCAGTGATTAATGACAGCAGATTATTCTGTATAAGGCAGTAAGCAAGAAACTGTCGAGTGAATCTTGCAGAAAAAATTACAGCACATCTCTTGCACAGACCCAATTGTCCTCCTACAAACAAACAGGAGCATAAATATAACCTGAAGAAAAATCCAGTTTTAATTCCCAATTTTTTGTTTTGTTCTGATAGTTCTGAAAGCAGGGCAGGGAGCTAGGGAATGACACAGAAGATTTGGAGGCTTTCATTTTAGCCATCCAAAACCCTACGTAGGAATCTGCGTTGGGAGTCAAGTCAGACATGAAGAGCACACATTCCATCCTCAAATGAAAGACAGTGAAAGAGACTTCCCAAGAAACTAATGCATTAAGTTGTATGTTTTCCACTTTTTTTCCCTTTTTATAGCTCTCTGTCCCAGATAAAGCATGAATATATGAATGTAGACTGACATCCCTGTGCAAAGCCCTCCTATATGCAAGCTGCCACTTCCTTACTTTAATAAGCTTTAGCAATCTCCTCATATAACTTTCCTTAATTAAATGTATGGAGGAGGGATTTCCTTAAAAAGAAAGGGATGTCTGTGCAGATTAATGTGGAAGTATTAGACATGCATCCGTTTATGCCAGTCCAAGACGACAACAATTTATTTTTGTATTTTTTTTCTATTATTCCTGCTATGCCTTTTCAGTTAAATAGATTCGAGCTTTATTTCTAGGAACAAGGAAGGTTTACATTTTGTTCTTTGGAGGTCCTGAATTTAATATGCATTTAATATCCATATACTATACCTTTTTTGTTGGTTCTAATAATTGTCTCAGACAACAGTAAAGGGCTTCCATTGGAAACTTCATTTATAGGCTTCTCTGGTGGTTTGTTGGCAGTATTTTCTTTCTTCATGTCTTTCTTTATTTCCTGCAGAAGACAGGTAGAAAGGGAAAAGAAAAAAAGATCCAGTTTAAGAAAAGGTATTACGGAATATTCTAAATCTCAAGCTCCCAAGATTTCTTAAAACTTCTATGCACAACCTCTGCCTGCTCTAATATTACCTCAAAGACTCTTACAAAGTTGAAATGCCACAAAAAGAAAGCAATTTTCAGTAACCTTTTCCAATGGGCACTAATGTTTTTCTTTTTCAAATAACCCCTTATCTATGTGTGAAAATTGTAGGACAGGTTTAAAAATCTCTTAGTAAAGATCACCAAACCTGAAAAAGTGTGAGGAGGGAAAAAAATAGATGTTTCAGTTCACCAACCAGGGAGCTGTACATTTGATACACAGGGCAGAACCAGTACAGAGTCCTTAATGTAAAGGCAGCTAAGTCTGCTTCCCCTCCAATGAGAAGACCACAGAAACAACCACCATAGCAGGAAAAAACTATTAACTAGGAAAATATGACAAATGTTACCATAATTGGCAGAAGCATATAGCAAGACTGCTGTCAGAGCTGTTGCTAACACTGACACATTTTGCTGCTCACTACCTTTTAAGGGGATTGACAATATATATCGAAAATATATATGGTGGGGTTTCAGGAAAGTAAATCCGCACAAAACAGCTTCACAGTTTCTGCTAGAGATGCACAGTACCCTCTCTATCAGCTTCTTAGGCAGACTTTAAAAGCCTAACTCTGTTGCCATCCACACCCACTTTGACAAAGCATCCAAAATATCATCACCTTTCATATCTCTTATATTGAAACGCCGCTGAAGCAAACAAACAGCATTACCTCCACTTTCTAGACAGGTAACTGACACACTACAGAGGCTGAACCATTTGCTTATAACAACATCCTAAAATATAAGGAAAAAACCCAGTTTTGGCTCCAAGCTTTGTCCTAGAGCCACAGAGCCACTCAGGCTGAGAGGGAACTCAGAAGGTCCCTACTCCAATTCAGTTCAAAGCAGGGTCTCACCTCTGAGTGGAGGTGGCCAGGCTGTTCAAGGCTGTTTGGGCAGCTGGGTTTTGTAAAACTCAAAGGACAGAGGCTGCAGAAGTCCACTGCTTGACTGACTCTATAGTGACAAAAATTTTCCTTATACCTTGCCTGGAACTTTCTTCTCAAATCCCATCTGTTCTCTCCTGCCCTGCCCACCAGGCAACACTGTGAAGGGTGTGTCTCTATCTCCTGGATAACAATTTTTAAGTAGCAAAAGGACCCCCCAAAACCCTCCTTTCAAGCTGAACAAGCCCACACCTCCCTTAGCATCTCCTTAGGGAGCATGTACTCCAGCTTCCAGAGGCACAGAACTTACTTTAGCTCATCAATATCTTCCCTTTATGCAAAATTCTCATCCCATCCACAAGATGGTATGCTCTATTCTGGATGTGGATTTACAAGTGCCAGGTAGAGAAGGATTACCACTTCCCTCTATCTGCAGGCTATTACTGCAGCCCAGGATGCTGTTCACTGAGCTGGTGCCAGGGTACAAGACTGGCACGTGTTTATGTTGCTGCCCACCAGGACCCACAGGTCCTTTTCAGCAGAGTTGCTCCAAAATTTATCAGGCCCCACTCTTCAGATCTGCCAACATTCCTCCTTCCCAGGGCAAGAACTGGTATTTGTCCTTGCTGGATTCCATAATGTCCCTGTCTGGGGCCCTCTGAAGAGCAGCCCTGCCTTCAAGCATGTCAATTGCTCCCCCAGTTTGATATCATCTGCAAATGAGATGAGATCTACATTAAACAGGCATCAGAGACAGGTGATGGCTTTGAATGAGCTCTTCCCATTACAAAAACCTCTACCTCTCTCCTCTTACATTCAACTGCCCTCTTCTACACCCTCTTCTACATTCTACACTGCAGGATCAATTTACACCACCCCACAGCACTGTACCATACACAGGAAATATTGTAGATCTTATTTAGATTTTCAGCATATCAGACACAAGCACTAAAGCATAGAAAGCACATTTCTGTTTGAAGTTTCTGAAGTTGTCATCTCTGAACAGCACCAACAAAGCAAGAATTTTTAATTTATTGTCTGTAAGATACACCTTAAACCTAAATCTCATAATTTTTTAACCTTTTATTATCTCAAACCAATTGTTATTTTAAAGCTGACTTATCAGCTATACAACATTAATACAGTCTTCTACATCTGCACAAAGCATTTTCTGTGTATCAGTACATTAGCAGAGCTAAAACTTTTATAAATTACTGCTTATGGAAGGTACAGTAAATCCTTAATGTACTGCCATCACACTCGTAAAATAGTATCTAAAAGACAACTCCTCAGAGTAACCATAATAACAGAAATAACAAATATGAATATGTGTATGAAAGATGTGTGATATCTGTGTGATAGATGCTGCTGTTGTTAGAAGAAATATTGTACATAGTTGTGGTAAAAAAGTGAACCATGTGAGAATTTAAGAACACTGTATGCATTTAGAAGAATATATCACTTTCTAAAAGAAGTGGACTAGACTTAACATAAAGATTATTCCACAAGCTTCTTTGTCACAGCCTTAAAAATTAAAATGTATAATAAATTACTTCACCCAGAGCTTCACATCTATTTTGCGGCTAGGTGACAAACTTACTGTGTATTAAAAAATTATCTGCCGTTTAAACAGAATTTGTGAGTCAAACAGCGTTGTCATGTGAACAAGACCACAAGACAACATCCTATGGAAGACCCCATCTTGTCAGAACTTACTTCCTGTGCGTCATTACCATGTAACTTTTCATTCTTTATGCCGAATGTAATTAAATCCTCAACTCACAAATTCTGAAACAGCAGTACAATATTTTTTAACTGTAAAAATCCTTTTGCAACTTCAAAACTGACAAAGAAAATTGTCTGCTATAACAGAAAACAATGCTGTACCCTTTAGTCTCCAAATGAATGACACTGGTGCCTTTGCTGCTGCTGACAGCTTTTTGAGAAAGCCTTGTGGCTCCTGAAAAAAAGCACAGGAATACAAGACAAGTCCCAAACACTGGCATTTGTTTTTAGCATGGAGAGTCTTGCACTTCTTTCTCATCCACTATTTGTGGAAAGAAGAAAGACACACATGCCAAGTGTCCACTAAGTCGAAATTCACACAGAAGGTTTGGCACCTTACAGTCACCAAAATTGTCCAAGGATTTCTTTTTTTGTGTGCCTTTCTAACACTTGTTTGAGGTACTTTTCATTACTGTTACCTTTGATGCTCATGAGGGCCATAATCTTTCATAGCTACAGCCCAGAGTAACATGACATGATCAACCCCAGCAACCTGAAGTTACAGACCCTGGAGGAAATTGAAAGGAAAAGTGGAGAATTGTCTAAACAATGAAACAGAAATCAACTAAAGGTCAATCCAGTCCTATTAAACTAAAATCTTATCAGAAACATATTCACAATTAGCAGTACCCTATGGGAAGTCCACATCTAAGTGGCTCAGGATGCATTCTGCAGTAAGCAACGCCAGCTTTAAAACCTTTGTACATCTTTTCAATTCCTGGTCTTAGTCTGTGGTATTCACATGCCCTCTGAACAGAGAGAAGCTGTGAGAGGAAAAACAATTCTTATCTCTGCTTGCTGCTCCTGTTGTTGTTTTGAACATGTGGAATGAGTTGGAAGATTATTTACCTGCAGGTGATTGCTTGATTGGCTTCTGGTGATGATGTTTTGATTTATTGACCAATTGGATCCACGTGTGTGCGTGTGCGTGCGTGTGTGTATGTGTGTTTGTGTGTGTGTGTGTGTGTGTGTGTGTGTCGGGACTGTCAGCTGAGAGTCATGAGTTTTCAGGAGTAGTAGTTAGTTAGAAGTATGATGTAATATAGATATAATATAGTATAATGTAATATAATATGGATTTAATAAAGTGACTATTCAGCATTCCAAAGCCATGGAGTCAGATGCCAATCATTCCCAGAGCTTGGAGTTGCCTGATTTTACTATATTAGTCTACAGCATAAGACTAAAATCTTATAAACAAAACCTAACAAATGCCCCAGCAGCCTCACCACTGTAGCCTGCAGCAAACACTGATGCCAATATTACAGCTTCTCTCCTCTCCCTAGAATGTTGCTTCCGCTTCTTTGCTGACTTCTCTTCTGTAGTGTTCTCCCTTGGGGAATTTAGGATTTTAGAACTTTTCTTCAGCTGTGGCTCAAGCAGAGCCAAACATCCTTATCCTCAGGCCAAAGGGACCCTTGGTACTATTAAATTCAGAAATATTGACATAGCCCTTTACATCTATCACCTCTCTAGGTTGCTGTAAAAAAAATAGATTATTACTCTAAAAATACCACAATAACTTGCTCAAAATTGCATTTCTTCTTGAAAAAATGAAGTGAAAACAAACACAAACAACTCTGGCCAAATAAATATACCAAGTAAATTTATTTTTATTTTTATTTTAAAGCTCACTTTATTTTACTACAAAAAGTATACTGAACATGACTACCTGGTGTATTTGGTAAATGACCTACAATGGCCCTAGAAGCTTTATCAGTAATAGTTATAGAAATCTCTCTATGTAACCCAGTCCTTCCAGATCTGCAAGGAGTTGAAGCCTACCACATCAAGGAAGAGTAGACAAATGAACTTGCAAACCCATGCATATCAAAGGTGGCTTGTGGGAACTTTCCCCAGTATATGACAAAATCTATTTCTAGTTCTGATTTTAAGTTGAAGTTTGCAGATCTTATTTTTTTTAAGAAGAAATTCCATGTACACAAATAAGTTGAAAGCAAACTTTCAGTTAGGATATAAGTCCTCAATCTGCCATAAGTAGTTCAAGAAGAGCTGAATTTAAATGCTAAAGGAGGATGAACAGAAACTAATAGTCCAGTTTCAAGTTTAGAAACTGCTATGTGTTTAAAAATAAGCTTGTGTAATAAAGGAGAGGAGAAACTAGACAGGTAAGATATTGGATTACATTATTTTGCCCAAAAATACTGGGAAAAGATCAACCTGC